CCCCCAAAACCCAAAACTAGAAGTTTCAAGGAGACAATGATTGGATATGCTACTGAGTTTCAAGAAGGAAGCAGCAGTTCCACCTGCTACTCAAACCAGAACAGAAGTCAGGAACAGAATACCTAGCTTTGGAAATAGATATGGTTATGTCATAAAAGCAGCTTTAGTGGTTCAATGGAGGTAGTTGCCTGACTGAAATGGGTTTATAAGAAACTATAAAGTAGGGGCCAGGAGCAGTGGTGCACACCTGTAATCCCAGCACTCAGGAGGCTGAGGCAGGAGGCTCACTCAGAGTTCAAGGCCAGCCTGGGCTACACAGTGATTCCAGGCCAGCAAGACCATGTGTCAAAAACAAACAAACCTATGAAGTAGGAATTGGAAATAGTATCTATTTGGCTTTTCAAAACTTTTTATTGTGATGGAAAATGGAGTACTAGGAAGAGTTGAGGTAGTGTGTGTCTCTGTGCGTGTGTGTAAGATAGACGTTTGAACACAAATGGAGAAAGGCTAATTGTTGATGCAAAGCCCTTGAAGAGAGGAAAAAATGGGCCGGGGATATAGCTCAGCAACACAAGCACCTGCCTGGCAAGCATAAGGTCCTGAGTTCGATTCCCAGTACCAAAAAAAAAAAAAAAAAGGGAAAAGTTTCTGGACCACAATGGATGGGTTGCGTTTGATAGTAGCAAGGTCATGTTACCATGAAGAGAACTGTGAAGCAAAGCTGTCAAATGTAAAATGTGGTTAACAGTTTAAAAAATAAAATGGGTGAAAAGTAACAAGAATTGTGGAAGTGGGTGGTACATACCTGTAATCCCTGCACTCTGGGAGGCTGAGGTAGGAGGACTATAAGTTGGAGTCCACCTTGGGTGATTCAGTGAGAGTCTGTCTCAGAATAAAACATTTTTTAAAAATGAGATCAGACTGGGCCAGGGATATAGCTCAGTAGCACAGTACCTGCCTGGCAAGCTCAAGGTCCTAAGTTTGACTCTTGGTGCCAAAAAAACCCCAAAACAACAAAAACAAAAAATGAGGTCAGACTGAAGCCTTTGGGTTCAGAACCCGTTATGACCTGACACCCCCAAAAAAGATAGTAAGCCATGAATTAATGACAGTGACCAGGGATCTGTAGGTGATAGATCTTGGGGAAGTAGCAATTCACATTCACTTTTTTTTTTTGGAACCGGGAATCAAACTCAGGACCTTGTGCTTGCCAGGCAGGCGCTTGTGCCGCTGAGCTAAATCCCCGGCCTCATATTCACTTTATTTATTTAATTTAATTAATTTATTTATTTTTTGGTTTTGCTCCGGTACTGGAAATCGAACTCACAGACCTTGCACTTGCCAGGCAGGCGCTGTGCTGCTGAGCTAAATCCCCAGCCTCCCTCACATTCACTTTAAAAACATTTTTTTTCAGTACTAGGGATTGAACCCAGGGAGCTATGAGCTATATACCCCAGCCCTTTTAATGTTTTGTTTTTTAAATTTTTATTTAGGGCCTCACTAAATTGCCTGGGCTGGGCTGAAACTTGCAATCTTCTCACCTCAACAACTGGCAACAAGTATTATTAATGTACGGCCTGCCCCTCCTGTTTCCACCAGACCACTTCCCTTCCATTCTCCCCAAAACTCAAATTCTTGCCAGGCAGGATGACACACCAACAAAATCCCAACCATTTGGCGAGAATGAAGCAGAAGGTTCTCAAATTCAAGCAATTTGGTGACTTGTTAGCTACCTTTAGTGACCTTGTTTCAAAATTAAAGACAAGAAAAGGAAAAGGCTGAGAATGTAGCTCATTGCAGAGTTCCTGGAATCAATTCCCATTAGAGGGAAAAAAGAATTTTTTTTTGTATCGGGAATCGAACTCAGGACCTTGTGCTTGCCAGGCAGGCGCTTTTGCCGCTGAGCTAAATGCCCAACCCCAAAAAAGAATATTTGTGACAGGAAAAAACAGCCTCCTGTACAGAATGCAGTTCGAACAGGAAGTTGATGGAACATTTAGGGAAGAACAGGGGAAGAACATATAGAAGAATCTCTGTAAAGAATAAAGGGGAAGTGACTGGTATGATGTTGAAATGCCCGTAATCATATAGGGCAGCTTTATTCTCTCTTCCAGGTCTTGTGATTATAGTTGCTAAAATTTTACTTAGTATTTTTTTTAATTCAGTTATAAAATGTGGCATGTAGGTCTCCTTCCAGGGTTACAACTGCTGGTTTTAATTATAGGGTTATGATTAATTATCAAAACAAGCTGGGATTTTCCCACCCCTCCCAGCATTTTAGCATCTTAAAACTATCTGTTCTAGGGTATTTGGGGTAGGGGATACTTTTAGCTACATTTTCATTTTTATTTAGTTTATCTGTTTAGATTTTCTACATTTCTTAAACTGATTTTTGCACAAATACATTATTTTGGTGAAATCAGGAAATAAAAGATTATTGTTGCTTATCAGGAGACCACCGAGCCTAATGTGTTACACACCGGAAATTCTAAATTTCTTGGGAGGCTGAGGTAGGAGGATTACAAATTGTAGGCCACTTTGAGCAATTCAGCTTGACTTCAAATTTAAAAGGGCTGGAGATGTAGCTCTCTGGTAGAGTGGCTTTCCATCATTTGAGAGGCCCTGGGCTCACAAGACAAAAAGCCTGAAACAAATGAAAACAAAACAAAACAAAAAAAACCATCATAGTAAGCTTTCACCTGCTTGTTTGTCTTTGTTCTTTGGTACTGTGACTCGAACTCAGGACCTTGCGCTTGCCAGGCAGGCGCTATGCCACTGAGTTATAGCCCTGGTTCCATGCTTATCTTTAATTTTAGTGGATTCTTTGGTCTTGATATGATGCAACAATTTACCTGTTTAAAGTTATCCAGGCCGGGCATGCTGCGAGTTCAAGACCAGCCTGCACTACATAGCAAACCCTGTCTCAAAAAGCCGAAAGGAGATTTAGCTCAGTGGCAAAAGCGCCTGCCTGGCAAGCACAAGGTCATGAGTTCGGTTCCCGGTACCGGAGAAAAAACCAAAAAAAAAAATACTTATTAAAGATAGTAAGGACACTTAAGTGGGGCTGTGGTGATAGATGTAGGGAGTCCAGGGTCTCGCGGGGCAGGCTGGATACGAGTCGTTTATTAATTTTACATATAGTTTTTCTCTGTGCATTTCTTGTGGCCCGTTTGTCTGTATGTGCATCTTCCCCACTCCGTACGGCTCCGCTCGAAAATCTCGGGCTGCACAGGGAAAGAACATATAGGAGAGTTGGTGACGAAGCGATCAAAAGATGGAGAAGAATTTTAAACGGGTTCATCACAACAGAGCGCGGAGCTGAGGACACGCTCCTCGGCCGCCGAGGCTGACTCCACGCGGGGACGCCCCGGCAGAGCCCGCGCGCCGGCCCGCGACCGACCGCGGAGGGCGGGCAAGGACCACAGCTCGGCGGGGCTGCCCCGTTTTCGAGGGCCGGCTCGCGGGGACACCGCGGGAACGCGGAGCTGCGCCCGGGGTGGGTCGGGGCAACGCTCCGCCTAACAAAGCCGAGCCCCGCGAAGGATTCAATTCAGCCCTCCCACACCCGAGCCCGGCGAGGGGAGCCGCGGCTGCGCAGCCGAAGCTGGAAATTTCCCAACTCTTCCTGCGGGAGGTGGAAATTTCCCAAGTTCTGCGCCAACTACCTCGGCCGGCCCCCCTCCTCGCTTGCCAGCCGAACGCGTCCCACCCAGACCCAGCGCCCGGCGCCACAGTTCCCAGCCCGTTCGCGAACGGCTTCCCGGAGGGAGTTTCCCGCCATTTCGGTTCAAAGAGTGGAAGGTCACAGCCCGCCGCGCCCGCCGGCCGCCACCCTCGCGGGAGGCCCGCGCCCGCACCGCCTTCCCCGCGACGCGGGCTGCGGGACGACAAGCGCAAGCGGCGGCACTACGACCCCGGGACCCGCAAAAGGGCGACAGAGCACAGCACCAGAGGAGTGCTTGGCAGCTGAGAAAAGCCCGCAGGGCGCAGCAGCCCCGCGGCAGCGGGAATCCAAAGGGGTAGAGCGCGGGCCCAAAGCCTGAGGCGGGAGGAGGGAGCGCGGCCGTTGCGAAGGGGAGCGCAGGCTGGGGGCGGAGGGCGGGCGCGCTCCCCTCGACTCCTGATTGGTCGGCTCCAGAGAGCCGAGTGACGCCAGCCGGGGAGAACGCCGGATTTGTGCGGCAGGCGCCGGCAGGCGGGGGGGAGCGCAGTGCGCAGGCGCAGCTGCTCGCCTCCTCGAGCCTGGCGCTCCGGCCTCGCTCTCGCGGACAAGTCCGGACTTCGCGCGCCCCCCCTCCGGGACCGCCCCCTCCTCCCTCTCCGCGACGTCGAAGATAAACAATAGTTGGCCGGCGAGCGTCGGGTGTGCGTCTCCCGCCGCCGGGTTCGGCGGGCTGCGTGAGGCCGGCGGGATCCCGGCCAGCCGGCCATGGCGGGGCTGTACTCGCTGGGAGTGAGCGTCTTCTCCGACCAGGGCGGGAGGAAGTACATGGAGGACGTTACTCAGATCGTGGTGGAGCCCGAGCCGACGGCTGAAGAAAAGCCGTCGCCGCGGCGGGCGCTGTCGCGGCCACAGCCTCCACCGCCTCCACAGCCGTCGCCGTCCGCCCTTCCTGGCGGCGAAGTCTCGGGGACAGGCCGAGCCCGGGACGCCCGCGACCCTGCGCCGGACGCCGGGGCCTC